TAAGATATTCAAATTACATAGAAAATTTATGAACAATTTGGAACAATAAATTTCCATATGAAACAAAAAGAATGAAAAGAAACTAAAAGCTTCGAAATAATTTATGAACTTTCGGAACGTTCAAAATCATGTCGGGACCGAAGGCGAATAAAACAACCCAGCATGGTCAGCGTGAGTTATAGCGAAGTTGACTGGAAGTCTCTTTTTCTTTTGAATCGCAGCTTACTGCTGTGTTTTGTGAAGCGGTAGCACTTTTCACTGCATAAAACAAAGCCTCGAAACAGAAGTAAATTAAAGTTGAGTTTCACTTAATGATTCTCATTTATAAAATGTGCGCAGTTGAGAATTAAGCTTCTGCTTTAGAATTTAAATGAACCAAAGTTTTCACTAGAAATCACATTTTAAAGCATAAGAATTTATGACAATTTTATGCTGGGTGCTGGCGGAATTGAATTCATTGAGTAAATATTCATTCTTATAGCATTTATTTACATAAATTGAGCGAGAAAAAGATGTTCCCAACATGAAACATTGAATGTAATTGAGTGCAGTGAACAAAACATTTGCAGCATGTTCTTATGTAAATGTTCTGAAAGATCAATTCATGTATCCCCATAACAATATTCAAATGTATACATTTTTTTCTTCTTTTTTTTTGCTATTGGAAACGATGGGAACCAACAAGGAAAGTGACCGATAAATTCTCGATGGCAATGCCACTGTATCCAATTTCCATAATCTAACGATGAATTTTATCGCTCTTGTAGGCACGGCATGAGCTGTTCGGATCAAATGGTTCACCAAAGTTTATTAAACATAAATTCCTGTTTCTTCTCCGTTACATGATTTATTGTCACAGATACAAAAGTTCCTTAAGATAAGAGACTTTAATAGAAAGTTTTCGTTTTCAAAACCAAAGAATGAAAACGAACATCATTCAGCTTTTTATGATTTATGGAATTGTCTTGTTTCTCAGGAAACTTTTGTTTATTTTCGCACAACATAAGCAACATTGAAGCTACATGAACAAAGTAAGACTGTAAGACAACCAAAGATTTAACTCAATTTAATTTAAAATTGAGTTAATGCATTAGAGGGGGGAAACTTCGTTAAACTGCTTTCAATTCTAAAGCTGAAATATTCACAAGAGAATTAAGGAAACCGTAAATTAATTTTAATTCTATAGCACACGCAAAGTAAAGTTGTCGTTGATTGTATTAATGTTTTAAATATTGATTAGTCAGATTGAGTTAAACTTGAAAAAACTTTGTATTATGTCAAGCATAAAACTGTTTTTAACAAGAATTTTAAAAATATTTAATGCCGTCTCTTCTTTCCCTTGAATGCATTGCGCACATGTTTAGCGCACATGTTTTCATTTTATGGCAGGGACTTGTTATTTTTGCAGCATAACGAACGAACACAAAATATTCCCAATGCTCGCATATGTTTTCCTTTCACTCTAGGATGATTCATGGCCAAACTTCAGCAGACGTTCTTGCTTTTATCTTTTATAAGTTGAACTTATGACATTAGATTAAACATCAGAGAATCAGCTTCTTGATAAGTAAAATTCTAGTGAATGGAATATCGAATTAATTAAACATTCATATTTTTATTTTCCCACTTACATTCCATAGCATCATAAATATTATTGACACGATAAAACTAGAACAAAACTTTCCCATCCAAATATATTTTGAATCTAGAAAAAAAATTGTCTACAATTTAAGTTAACTAAAATACTTTAGCTGACATGTTTGAGTGGCAAAATATCATATCAATTTTTTCCTCAGAATAAAAACTTTTCGAGACTTTAAATTCCAAAGCAATCTCATAGCTTCGCCTCTTCGGTTAGCAATAAATAAAAAAATATGAGAAAGTTTTTCTCGGCCGTCCATATTTTATTATGGCAGCTTTCAAATGTGCTTACTGTAGATAGTTTTGAAATCGAAACTTTCGTTTGAACTATTGATAAACTTTAAAACATATCTATAATTAAGAGCTGATAATTCGCTTGGTAAAAACAGCAATTTCATCTTCAGCCAGCTATGGATTACTCCATTGCCTTTAATTATAGTTCGATGTTTATAAACAATTGGAACACCAAGTGAGGAGCATTCACGTTAAAGTTGAGAACAGAGGAACTTAAAAATTATGATAATTATAAACATTTTTCGTCTTGATACATATCTCATGTTTTTGAAAGGCGCGCCAAGCAATTGAAATAACTGTATTTAAATTATTTGTAAGATCAATTTTTGAATTGTATTTGGATTTCCTGTCAGTGTATTTTTTTTTTATTTTATGAATCGTTTAAGATCTTTGATAGATAATTATTCAACTGATAAGAATTTCGCAGCAAATTCGACTTTTTGTTTGCTGTTTTGTCACGCAACACTTTAATACCCTACTCTGATACAAATTGCATTAATTTAGTCTTGGTCAAGTATTTAATTAGATTTTCATCTACTGTTGTTGGCAATCCCAAAAGGGTCGATTGCTTCAACTTGCTTCCCTTCAATAATTTATGCTTCGCTTATCTGCGAATGCAAATCACGATGTGTCACCAAAGTTAAGTCAGTGGGAAATAAATTCTGAGATTTATGGAAATTCGCAAGTATGTGGGCATTTCAGTGCTTCAATTTAAATTATGTATGAGAATTGAATTATGTCAAAATTTTTTCTTTTGAGGTTTTCGTGGTTTGATCGGAAAATGAAAACGAATGGCAGTGAGCAGTGTCGGAGGATAAAAAAACTGATTTTTCCTTAATCTTTATACAGCATAAATATCAAAAGTATTTTCTTCTTTTCATTCCAATACCAATTATGTAAGTTTCTTAACAAACATAAAATCCTAAATGAGTCAAACAAAAATTTGTTTCATTCATGTTCGTATTTAATAAAATAAAGTAAAAGATAAAACCATCAAAAACAAATTCCATCTTTCACAGAGATAAAGGAAAACTTCTTCTTTCTCATCTGGAGCAATATTTCATAAAGTGATGAATCATTTTAGTTATCGTTTCTTTTAAAAACTTTTAAATCTTTTTTTCTTTTCTTGATGAAATGAAGAAAAAGTAAAATTTCGTGGTTATTTTTTTTCTTCTTGATGGTTCAAAGCCACACACAACATAAACCTTTTGTAATCCTAAATTAGATAATTAAGCTATGATCAATAAATCACATTTATGTCGAATCATAGTTTTGTTTATAGTGAATTTTATTATCTGTAGCGTTACAAAGTGCCGACGATTAATCATCGGAATTAGCTTGAAATGTCTGGATAAAATCTGGATAAGATCGATCTCTCATGCCATGACTTTATAGTTTAAACTTTAAACTTATCGGTCGGTTTGATAGAATCAAGGAAAATAAGAAATCTACAAAGACGAGAAACATGTGTCGTGCAGACTTGAAGACAAAATAGTTAACAGCAGAACGAATGTTTGTGCAAGAAATTTCTTTCAATTGTTCTCTAAACTTTGAAATTGCTTGGAAAAAATTTATGAGTTTTATTTCCTGAATGTTTTCTTTATGTTTTTATAATCTTCAAGAAACTTCTTTGATTTAAAATTCAGAATGCGTTCTTTTCAATGTTTTATTACACACCGGTAGAAAGAAATTTTTTACTTTAAAGTTTAAACCATAAATCTGATGAATTTTACACTTTTCATTCGACTTGATAATAGTTATATGACTTTTTACACTCTTGACGGTTGTAAAACGTTTTCATTCTTTTGGATTATTACATCCTTCCATTAATCCAGTTAAAATTAATTCAGACCAAAGAGAGTCGCCGCTTAAAAACGTAAAAAAGTTGATTCATCGCAATGTAATTTATGTGTCTGTTTAACTCTTTGAATGTTGAATTGTGGAGAGAAGTTTTGCATGGATTAACTAACATAGGAATTATAATTTGTTTCAATGAATTAAAATTTCTTTAAAAAGACTACGTATGCGACAAACACAAATGCTCCAACATAACGACTGCAGTCATGAAGCGTTTCTATGGATACGAAAACATATGCGCAAGATCTGTTGAGAAATAAGAAGAAATCTGTGAAGTTGTCTGGTTTTTACTCTTCGTTCCATTATCTTTAATTCAGAAACGTGAACATTAGAGAAATTCAATCGAATTCTAATGCAAATATTATGAAGATTTCTTTTTTTCAGGAGAATATAAAAACTTTAAAACTCATCTCAGTTCATCAAATTTTAATTTTGTAAATTTAAACAGTTAATAAAGCATAAAGTGCTTCCTCGTCTTGCTTGAATCTCCAATGTCTATAAAACAGAGATTGATTATCAATCTGAGAATTTTAGATTAGATCAAGTTTCATAGTTAATACTGCTGTCCTACACTTTTTAATCCTTTCAGGAAAATTTTTAAAGATCGAGGAAAAATCATTCAAAAGATTAAAAACATTCTCAATCTCTGTTTTCTCATATTCTGCTTTCAGAATAACAAATTTCACGTTTTCTCGAGTCATTTCTCGCCTTATCACTGCAATTCAAGTGTAAGAATTTGAGTGAGAAAAGAAGTCATAAAAACAACTTTTATTATTTTTACGCAATCTACCTGCTCACATATTTTCTCAAATGACAATATCGCGACATTCCTAATACACGATAAGATCTCAGCGGCAGGTGAAAATATTTAAATAATCCAGTCGAAATATTGACATAAATTATTCTAATGATTCACAGATAATGTCAACGAAATATATCGTGTCAATAAATCGTTCTTTTGTTAAATGGAGAGGAAAAGAAATACAAATCTGATTCAACTTAAATCGCGAGCATAGCGACGGACATTGAAAGAGAGTCGCAATTTAAATATTCATTGGTGGACAAATTAATTATGGAATTATGGAAATTATCGCTCCACTCTCGCGTCTAATAAAATGCTTTTTAATTTAAAGACCCGATTTGTATGTTTAAATATTAAAAAGTTTCATTTGAGTATTTAACACAAATCCTTTTATATATTTAAATTCTTAACTGTCTCTTCTCTCTTTTGATTGCTTGTTCAAATCCGATTCTTTATGGCGAGAAAAATCAATATTTAATTAATCAATGATATGAATACGATTAACTCACCGTTATGTCCTTGACTTGAGATGATAACCCAAAAATCAATTGTCTTCATCGCACCAAGTTCCGAAACATTCCACTTCTTTTTAACACAAACATCACCATTTGGTTCAATTGACACCCACGGATTATCATCGCGTAATTCAAATGTTTCACGTTCATTTTGCTTCTCCAAACGGAATAAATTAAAACCTTCGACATCGCCATCAACTTCATCGAAATCGATAAGTTTCGACGGACGAATGGCACGCGTTGTGCTTCGTTTTTGTCGTCGATGATGTGGATGCTGTTCCTCATGAGCTAAATGTTGAACAGTGATCGCTGCAACTTCTGGTGGTGCAAATTCAATCAACACTTTCGTTGGATGTTCACTCGTTAAACTTGGTGTACGTAAATCATGAGCTTCAACTTCAAGTAGCAATTCATGCTTTTCTGGTTCACCAGCCAAAACCAACTCGCCAGTTTGTGGAACAATAATGACATAATTACTTGGACTTGTCAATTTATAAGCTACTTTGTCACCATCAGCATCCTTCGCTTGAACCTTTCCAATTTTCGTAAAACGTTCGTACGTCACTGTTGTATTTCCATCCGCATCAACAGATTTCTTACCAACGACAACAAAGCGATATTGCGACTCAATGAACAATGGCCGATTATCGTTGTCATCGAGAATGTGAACGGTAATCTTGGCATCAACTTTATTGATTCTCTCATCATCAGAGCCTTCAATGACAAGATTATATTCGCTTTTCACTTCACGATCCAATGGTTTGTTTGTGACAAGCCAAACACCAACATTTTTCGTATCTTTGATTTTAATCTCTTCACTTATTTCATTTGTTTTGCTGTTTTGAAGTGCGAAGGCTTTGTTGTCGTTGCCACTAACGATTTTATAAATGATTTCTTTTGATGGCTTAATTGAGTTTGCTTGGAGCAATGGAACATTTTTAACCTTTGCGCCGCGTTTCAAGTTCTCCATAACTTCACCAACAGTTTCCAAAATTGCACCAGGAAAACGTAACATGTCCTTTCGATCCATAATGTGTAATTGAAGGTGATGAGTCGTTGTTGAAAGTGGTGTTTCTTCCAACACCACCAAATGAACAGGCCGATTGACCAAAGGTGTTAAGTCAGATGTTGTCATCACCATTCCATCTTCTAAAACTGTAAAATATTTTGAAAATCCCGTCTCAAGTAGTCGATAATTGATGGGCTTCGATGCATATGATGTCAACGATGAATATGGCGAGTCCGGCGATGTAAAATTCGCCGTAAATTTCTTAATGCTATAGCCGGGATATGTGTCATGAGGGAGAACTAACGAAAGTACATTGTTAGCTGTACCATCGAATGCTTTTTCGCGATGATAATGATGGTGGTGGTGACTCGAATTCTTATTGTGAACATTATTGAAAGCTACACATTGATTAAAATTATTGATTAGAAGCATTATTAATAGACCTAATGCACTGGCAAACATTTTATGACTATGGCATGCGGCGTTAGGCATAAGCCCGTTGATTTTACTCGACTGCCGCATTTTTACAGCGGCACCGAGATTCCGCATCACTTGAAAACTCTCTTCTTATCTTTTAAACACTTATGCACTTAATGATTATTAATTTATTATTATGCTGAAGTCGAACACAATATTGTAGTTGTTGTTGAAGAGAGATGAGGGAGGTATTTATGGAACTGGTAGTCGTCTGGTTTAGTGTCTCAATGAAGTCATAACCTGCAGAAAGAGAAAGAAAAAAAAAGAAACAATAAATCTTCAATGAATTCTTATGTGTGCCAGAAGCAGCAAAAGGAGAATAAAAAGAAAAAAAGCGCATGCCTGAAATTTATTACAATAACGCTTTCTCGTTTGCGTTTTATGTGTTTAAACACTTCTTCATTACCCATGTGCAAGCTGTCGTGTGATTTTTGCAAGCATCGATGATGGTAATAAATATTGATTGAAGGATTAGCATGCTTCAGTGAGCGATACGTTTAAATATTTTTTTTCATAATATCATAAACTTCTGAATCACAAGTTTATTAAACGACATTCCATCACTATTGATGATCAATTCATTTTTCATTTCTGTATTTATTTTGCTATTCCAAATAGCGAACATAACAATAAAAGATATCACGTTAAAAATTCATCAAAAGAAATCATCAACGATTATCGAGAGAATTGATGAATAATTTTCCAATTTGGTGGCTTTGCCTTGTCATATATTAATAAGTTAAGGGTGGTTAAATAAAACGACAAAAACACAGCATGATGGCCAAAGAATCAAGCATCACAAAATGTTTTAATGACGGCTTTTTATCGAAACATTATCATTAATAAATATGAGTGAATGAAAAACATTCAATTAGATATTTTGTGTTATTAATCGTTCATCGTTATCAAATTCTCGCACCTCAAAAAGCTAGAAAATATATGCGCGGTGTCTAAAGAAGAAGAAGATAAACGAAACAAAATATTAATTTGCTTAATTAACAAGATTTCAGTCGAGAGTTTTAAGGAAAACAAAAAACTTCTTCGTGTAAGCTTTTTATCGATTCCAATCAAGTTTATTTAAAAAGAATTGCTTTAATAATTCACATTTTTGATATTTTGTCTTAACGGTTACAATAATCGTTTTCGTTAGACGATAAAGTCATTAAATTTCTGTTAAATTGTGTTTATGATTTCTCTAAAATCACCCCGCAGCGAATGACAAGATTACTTTCCATATCTCTCATACTTAATCGTCGTCATCATCATAGTTTTCATATTAGTTTTTGTGTCTGCGCACATATCACTCAATGTTAGTCTGGGAAATTTTTATCCATCAAGTTTGACATGAATATGTAATAATTATTTGTACAAGAACGATACATTTCTCAAATTTTTTCATTTATAACGTTGCTTTATTAATGTACCTTAACAGTTAAATTAATTTCAGTGGCATTTTCCATCAATTTTGTAAGAAAATTCAAATGTCATGCTACTGAGTAATATTTAAGAATAAATTTTTATTACTAATAACGTAATTGAAATTTAAAATTTTGAATGATGATTCAAATGTTGCTGAATCATTTTTTAAAATTTAACCCTGATATTTGATAACAAAAACGATTTGAAATTTGTAATTTGAAATTGCTGTAATTTTTTATTCAAAGAACTGAAACAACAAGAATTTGTAACTCGATATTTTCCATACATGTGCAAGTAATTTAGACTCTTAATGGTATTTCTAAAGCAGAAATAATCTGAGAACATTCTTTTGCTTTGAAATTTGAAGAGAAAAAGAACTAAAACTAAGCTGCAATAATAATTCCGAAATATTTCCACAGTACAAAGCAAAAAAGATGGAAAGAAGAATGAAATGAACATTTGAAGATGATTCAGTTCAGATCGAGAATCTTTTATTAATTATTATTAATTATCTAACTGATCTCCGACACTACAATTGGTATTAGAAGTGATGATTTGTACCTTCACTCAGCTCAGTTACTTTTAATCATTCTTAACCCAAAAAAAGAAACTAAAAACCATTCTCTTAAAAAGTTCCCATAATTATTTTACTATTTTAAAACTAAGCACCGGAGATATTCAAATCATTTTCCCGATGTCTAACGAAATAAAAATTCATTGCTTAAACTCTCGATGTCTGTTTATCACATTTCAGAAATCTCTTGCGTTGAAAAGAGAAACAAGGAAAAGTTTCTTTTTCTGGTGACTGACAATAATAATAAAAATCCATTAATGATAGCATAAAAAATATTAACCATCAATTAGACATCACATCGTTAGATATTGTTGTTGTTCTTGCTTAAAGTCATCTTCAAAATTTACTTTAATGTGGAAGGAATGTGCTTGTGTATCGAATAGTTTAACGTTCATTAATCCATAGTTTCACAACTGAAACAAATAAATCTATTAGTCGATTTTAAATGGAGATTTTCTTAACCAGGATTTATCGACCGTTAAAAGAAATGTCTTTAAAATGTTGGACTCTGATCAAACAGATATTTAGAAAACGTTCATAAGCGCAGCATTTGTTCACTTCCACTTCAAAGTCTTTCAAGACAAAAAAAATATTTTAAAGAAGAAACGAGAACATGATACTTCTTTTGAGTTCTTATGCTGCAAGACTAAAGAATCGTCAAGAGTCAACATCCGGCGAGAGTTTTTTTATTTTCTTGAAAGACGAACATCACTCGTCGTAATCTTTTGTTGTGGCAGCCCAACAGAATTTATTTTCATAGCAAAAAAAGCGAAGATATTTCAATCAATGCTAATAATAACATCATTACAGAAGTTATTCAAAAGTAATCATCAAATTGTTCGTGAACACTAATGAACGGTTAACCATTGAATGTGATCACCAACATCAACAGCTAAAAATTTTTAATTAATTAATTAATTTTGAAAAGGAATTCACAACGAGTTCCAACCTTTCTTCACTTTCCTAAATATGTTGATTAAATATTTCTTCGAATAAAAATTTCAAGAGTTCATTAAAATTGTAAAGGTAGGCCTCGAGAGGTCAAAAGGAAAAAGGATGGTCCCAATCCCACAAACAACTCAAACCAAAGTCGGTAGAAATTATTGATTGAATTCACAGAATGACAAACATATTTTATGTTGTGGAAAAAGGATCCACAAACAGCTATTTTTATGATTAACAATAATTTGAAAAACTAACCGTGCCCTCCTTCAAACAGAAACTTTACGTCGAGGTGAATTTATGAGTTCATATTGACTAAATCATTCGTTCTTAATGGGAGGTTCGTTCCATGAATCATATAAAAATATTATTATTCTTCTTCTACTCTTTCATCATTTTTATCTAAATATTATATTCAATAAAGAATTCTTGTGAAAATTTTGTATTTAAATTAATTAAATTTATGGGAGATTAAAACTGTGGACGAGAGGGAAGTCTTCTTGTTTGTGCAATAATTGATTCGATTCGTCGATCAGCTTAACCTTAGTGTTAGATGATTTATGAGAAATAATTAATTGACCGTCTGAACACGAGATCTCGTAGTAAATTGC